GGATATTGCATGGTTTAGAATCAGGAAGGGAGTATGTCAGGGTTGTATCCTTTCACCATACTTAATCTGTATGCTGATTATATGAAGAAGAACATGGCATCAGGACTGAAGGAATACTCATTATCAACCTGTGATATGCAGATGACACAACTTTGTTTTCTGAAAGTGAGGAAGCACTCACTGGTGAAAAATAAAGACTACAGTCTGCAGTGTGGATTACACCTCAACATAAAGAAAACAAAAATCCTCACAACTGGACCAATAAGCAGAATTACAATAAATAGAGTAAAGATTGAAGTTGTCAAAGATTTCATATTACTTGTTTCCACAATCAGGAGCTCTGGTGGCATAGTGCCTAAGGCATTTGGCTGCTAACCAGAAGGCTGGTGGTTCAAACCCACCAGCTATTCCTCAGAAGGAAGGTTGGTAAATCTACTTCCGTAGTGATACTGCCTCAGAAACTCAAGGAGGGGTCGCTAGAAGTCCAATCCAATCAGCACCAATGGAAGCAGCAGGCAAGACATCAGACAACGTATTGCACTGAGCAAATCTGCTTCAAAAGACCTCTTTAAAGTACTGAAGAGCAAAGATGTCTCTTTGAAGACTAAGGTGCACCTAACCCAACCCATGGTATTTTCAATTGCCTCATATGCCTGTGAGAACTGGACAATGAATAAGGAAGACCGAAAAAGAGTTGATGCTTTGAGTTGTGGTGTTGGCAAAGAGTACTGAAGGTACCATGGACTGCCAAAAGAACTAACAAATCTGTCCTGGAAAAAGTGCAGTCAGAATGCTCTTTGGCAGCCAGAACGGCTAGACTTCATCTCACCTACTTTGGTCATGTTGTCAGAAGGGCCCATTCCTTGGAGAAGAATATCATGCTTGGTAAAGTGGAGGGTCAATGAAAAAGAGGAAGGCCTTCAATGAGATGGATAGACACAGTGGCTGCACCAATGGGCTCAGGTATAGCATGGATTGTGAGGTTGGCACAGGACCGGGCAGTGTTTTGTTCTGTTGTACACAGGGCCACTATGAGACAGGGCCACTCTGAGTCAGAGCCGACTTGACGGCACCTAACAAAAACAACAACAGAGTTTCAGGAGAATTCAGTTCTCAGAACTCTCCCCACCCCTACCTCCATAATTCCCCACTTACTTATTCCACAAAATCAGTAGCTCAGTGGAAACCCTTCCTTTTTTGTTTTTGTTTTTAAACTGGAAGTTGAAAAACATTGTTGTTGTTGTTGTTAAGTGCCGTCAAGTCGTTTCCGACTCATAGCGACCCCATGCACAGCAGAACGAAACACTGCCCGATCCCGCACCAGCCCCACAATCCCTGCTATACTCGAGCCCATCATCGCAGCCACTGTATCAATCCATCTCGTTGAAGGCCTCCCCCTCTTTCGTCGACCCTCCACCCTACCAAGCATGACATCCTTCTCCAGGGAATGGTCCCTTCTTACAACATGACCAAAATAGGTGAGACGAAGTCTGGCCATTCTTGCTTCCAAGGAGCATTCTGGCTGCACTTCCTCCAGGACAGATCTGTTAGTTCTTTTAGCAGTCCACGGTACTTTCAGCATTCTTCGCCAGCACCACAACTCAAAAGCATCAACTCTTCTTCGGTCTTTCCTATTCATTGTCCAGCTCTCACATGCATACAAGGTGATTGGAAATATCATGGCTTGTGTCAGGCGCACCTTAGTCCTCAAGGAGATATCCTTGCTCCTCAGCACTTGAAACATTGACCACTTCCAAAGAAGAGGTTTTATGTGGAAAGTAGTGAACATCAATATCTAAAGCCTAAATCATCACACCCATTTAAAAACAAAACATAATTAATGCAAAGTCTACATTTCAATGGGCAATACTAGTGTTTTAATCAGTGTTCTCTAGAGGAACAGAACCAGTGAGATATATACAAATATAAAGGGAGAGAAAGGGAGATTTTCTTCAAAGGATTGGTTCATGAGATTGTCAGGGGCCAGCAAGTCCAAAACCCACAGGTTAGGTGAAGGAAAAAGAGCTAAGTGAAGAGAAAGAGTGAGTTTTGCCAAGATGTCATATAGTCTGGAAGCATAACACACACTAAGGAAGCTCCCATTTCAACTGACTGATTGATTACATTATGGTAAGTAATTATATTACATCATTACATTACATTACATTACAGAATAGTGACTAGACTAGGTTTGGCCAAACCACTGGGAACCATAGCCTAGCCAAGCTGGCACATAAAATTAACCATTACAACCAGCAAGTGAAAGAAGGAAGATGCTGAGAAAACTGGAAGGAAAGACACCAAGAATGTGAAAGGGGAATATAAGAGATTTACATTCCTTCTTTGAAACCACAAATTAGCTTGGAAACAATGGGAACTTCCTGGGAGGAGTTGGCTGTCTGGGTTCTGAAGTTTGGCACAGCATGGAGGTATTAGCAAACCAGGTGTTGTCTTCACAAACCTCTTCATACCACTCTGACTTCAGAAAGTATGCACCACAATCATCCTCAAACAGCTGGAATTTGTTAAATGACAATAATAGTGGGTTCACACTTCCCTGGTCCATGAGGAAATTCCTATTGGGCTCTGTGTCAGGACATTTTCATCAAAGATGAGGTTTTCCTGCATATCCCCAACCCTACTCAAGGCTTCTCGGTCCAAGGCACACAAGTATCTACAACACCCAGCACAGGTGCTTGTGGGGGTGGAAGGCGGGTTCTACACTCAAGAAAAATTTCCCTCTGCTCCTTTCTTCACACAGGAGGTTACCCTTCCCTCCACCTGTTTGAGGACTCTTGTCCTCCTCCACATTGGTGGCACTTATTCATTTCTTTCCTTCTCTTCCTACAGCCCTAGTCTTAGCTAGTCTTGGGGCATGGAAAAGTGGCTACACAAGCTGGCTTCTGAAGGTTTTTGTCACACCTTTCAGAAGAAGGAGAAGGAGAAAGAAAGGTTGATAGATGTTACAACTTGCCATAGCTCTTTGTTGTCAGTTTCCCCCTTTAGAAGTTAGTTTCTGGAAGGCAGGGGCAAGGTCTCTTGTTGCTGCTTTCTTGCTGCTGAGAACAATGGCTAGCTCATGGTAGGGCAGCAGATATTTGTCAAATGTTATTGAATGCATGAAATGAGTGAATGAATGGGTAATGACCACTGAGGACCCATCAGTAGTCCTTATTAGAAGGGTTATTCTACCAAGAACTTGAAAGAAAATATGTAAGAGAAAAAAGAAGCCTGAATATATTTCCTCTTTTGACTTAAAATCCTTTTGAAGAAAAAAAATAATCATTGTGACTTTCTCATGCTTTAATGTATAATTTTAGGGCCTCTAAAAACGATATGAGTTGGATCTCACTCGACAGCACATAACAACAACAACAACAAAAGATACTATATAATAAATCAGGGGCAAAGAACAGATGATATGATTTGATTAGATTTCAAAGAAGATATATAAAAAAGATCTAAAGTTGAGTACTAATTCAAAAAGATTATCTTCCACATACAACCTTTTTTGACAAAATTTTGATATGTATATATGTTATATAGGAGCTCTGGTGGCACTTTGGTTAAAGCATTAGGCTGCTAACTGAAAAATCAGTGGTTCAAACCACCTGCTGCTCCATGGGAGAAAGATGAGGCAGTCTGCTTCCATAACGATTTACAGACTTGGAGCTCTTTTGGGGAAGTTCTATCCTGTCTTATAGGGTCACTATGAGTTAGAATGGGAGCTCTGGTAGCATAGTGGCTAAGGTACTTGACTGCTAACCAGAAGGCTGGCAGTTCAAACCCACCAGCCACTCCTCGGAAGGGAGGTTGGGCAATCCTACTTCCGTAGTGATACTGCCTCGGAAACCCAAGGAGGGGTCACTGAGTCAGGGCTGACTCGACGGCACATAACAACAACAACAACAACAACAGTTAGAATCGACTTGATGGCAGCGTGTTTGATTTTTCTTTCTTTCTTTTAATATGTTATATGTGTGTGTGTGATATCTGTGTATATGGAGTTTATATAGATATAAAACATCTATGTATAATGAAACATTTGTGACTTTAACATTTTTTATGTGTATAATTCACTGACCTTAAATATATTCACTATGTTGTGCAACCATCACCACTATCCATTTCTAAATTTCACCATCACCCTTAACAGAAGCTCAGTGCTCCCTAATCAATGACCCACCCTGTCTTCCTGCCTCTCACCCCTGGTAACCTTAATAAGCTTTGGCCTCTACGCATTTTCCTGCTCTATATATTTATATAAGTGGAATCCCATAGAATTTGTCCTTTTCACATACATCTTTTTAAGGAATCATTTGGTTTGACAGACTTGAAGATTACTTTTGAGATCTGGAAACTGAGGGTGGGAACGGAAAAGGAAGGGGCATTAGTGAGTGCAGCCACCATGGAGTGGGGAAGGCTGAGGAATATCTTAGGGTGGCCACTTTGGAAAGCCAGAGGACAGCAGGAGAGAACGAGATACACCAAAGCCAGAGGATAGCAGGAGAGAATGAGATACACCGAGGAAGGTGGTTGGGGAGCTCTCATGCAGGGAGGAAAAGGAAGAAATAGGAGAGGTCCCACCTGCTGTGAACCATTGCCAGGGGCCCTGACAGCTGCAACTGCCAAGCACATTAGTCAAAATCATCCTGACAGCCAAGGGCTGGTTCCTGGCAGCCTCTCCCCTCCTGGGGGCACCTTACACAATTTCCTGCCTTCCTCACTAGACCTGCCAATCATATGTTGTATCTTTTCATCACTAATGAATCCATCTCCATCTTAACAAAAATGAGCTGCCACATCGAAGGGATTTACAGTTGTTTGGGGAGATCCTTATAATTTTTTTAATTTCTCTAAAATAATGATAATAATAAAATAAGTAACAAGACACAAATGGTTGCTTTGAGGATTGTGGTTTCAGAATGTTATGGTTTCCTGTTCACCCTGAGCTGTCATTGAAGGGAACATGAGTGGTTCAGCCAGTCACGCTCGCAACCATGAAGTCTAAACATCACCTTATAGCCTTCTTCATCAATTTCCTCCTGACCGGTGTAGTAGGTAAGTGTTGGCTTTCTTTTTCATGTTTACAGCTTTGTCATGTGAGTCTGATCAAGAAACTGTTAGAAAGGGCATTGGTTCTTTTGTGGGCTTTGTAAGAAATTTGGCTTTCTTTTGCCATTAATCAAGACTAGGGGTCAGTTACTATCTCCAGTCTAATTAACTCCGCATGTCCTTAATGGATATCTGCTAAGGAACATGCATGAAAGTGGGGTGCAAGAAACTTATACAGGACAAACGTATATCCATCTCTCTCCCCTTAGCATCTATTTTGTCTTAGAAGGTCACTATAACATAGTGGTTATAAGCACAGACTTCTAAATCAGGCTGTCTGAATCGAAATTTCAATTCTGCCACTTACTATCTAGGTGACCTTGGGAATTTACTTAACCTTCTTGTTTAAGTAAATGTTCCCATCTGTAAAATGGGGATTGTAGGTCACTGTGAAGAGTAAATGAGTTAATATATGCCAATTGCTCAGAGCAGAGCCTACCACAGAGTAGAGATCATAAACATCATGTGAGAATGTGCTGTTGGTACCCACAGAGAACCCTTCAAGATCATGGAGCATCTTATCACCATAGCATCTCTCTGAGCAAGGCCCTTCACATCCTCTTGATAAATGGGCAATTGCCAACATAAGTGGCTGAGTTACTTTCCCAAGACTATACCCTCATTCATTCAGAGACTGATGTGTAAAAAGAATTCAGGCCTCCTAGCAAGAATTCTAGTGCTGCCAAAATGATCCTGACTCTGCATATTACCATCCTGTAACCTCAGGCAAGACATGCAACTTCTTTAAGCCTCAGCTCCCCATCTACAAAATGTAATAATAAAATACCTACCTTATTTGGTTGTTGTGAAAATCAAATAAGATGTAAATCATTGACCAGAGTGCTTGCTATATGGGAAATGTTCAGTGACTGCCAGTCAGGAGGAGGAGGGAGAAGGAAGGAGGGGAGAGGACTACCCTCAGCCTCGTGTTGCTGTTTCCCCACTAGCTTCTCTCTGATAATGGAGCCCCATCCCAATAAAAATGAGCTGCCACAGATTTACAGCAAATATTTTTGAAGTGATACTTATCAGTTTTTAATTCCCTAAAATAATGAAATAACATGGTACAGCAGTAAGATGAAATTGCTGTTGCTTTAAGGAACCATTTGCCAAGGAGATGATGTTATAATGGTAGGAAAGGCTTTGCTCTTGGTTTCCCATGGTAGGAAAGAGGCAGGCTCTGGAGTCAGCTTCACTACTTGCTGCTGGGCAAGGTCCCTAACTACTCTCCAACCCTTAGTTTTCTAGTCTGTAAGAGGCAGACAGCAACAGTTCCTTTCATATAGCAGATCCAAGCAGATTAAATGAGTTCATGCAGGTAAAGCCCTCCCAGTCCCTGGCACAGAGTGACTTGTAGCTATTGGTGGTGGTGGTAGTGTTGTTACAAAAACAAAAGAAGAAATCTGTAGGCAGGAGTGAAAAAGGACATGGATCCATTTATCTCCAGACTAGCAAATCAACTCTAGGCAGGTCTTCAGGAATTGTGCCTGCCATTGACTGAAAACTTCTAGAATTTTTATGTATTAAATATGATTACTCAGGTAGTGATTTTGGTGAGTGCAATCAACTCCTTCTGAGTACATACCATCATCTGATGCACTGAGGGAGGTCCAGAAAACAGAATAAAGCACACAAATAGCACTATTAGTACTATTTAGTTGCTAAAAAGGAAGACTGGGCAATCTACTTCCATAGTGATACCTCCTCAGAAACCCAAGGAGGGGTCGGGGTCACTATGAGTTGGAACCGAGTCAATGGTGGCAAGTTTGGTTCAGTTTGATTTAGTTGGTAAAAAATAAATACTTAAAGAAACAGCCTCATTTACTAGGGGAAAAAAAAAAGATCTTGAAATCAAAGCTGAGATCATTGACTTAGGGTATTTTCCTCCATCTCAATAAGGTGATATGTGAACAAAGACTTGAAGGAGGCAGAGAAATGAGTCATATGGAAATCTAGACAGAAAAAAGAACAGTTGTCATTGAGATGAGTTGCCCATGTGTGAGTAGAACTGGCTGCATAGGATTTTCACAGGCTAGCTCTGGTAGCATTGTGCCTAAGGCACTTGACTGCTAACCAGAAGGCTGGTGGTTCAAACCCACCAGCCACTCCTCAGAAGGAAGATGGGGCAATCTACTTCTGTAATGATACTGACTCGGAAACTGAAGGAGGGGTCACTATGAGTTGGGTCCGACTCGACAGCACATAACAACAATAACAACAATTCTTCCAAAGTAGATTGCCAGGTTTTTTTGGAGATGCCTCTGGATGGACTCAAACCTTTTGGTTAGCAGCCAGCATATTAACTGTTTGCATTATCCAGGAAGAGAACATTCCAGGAAAAGGAAAGAGCCAAGGCAGAGACCCCAAGATGGGATACATCTGGCATGCTGGAGCAAGAGCAAGGATATCAGTATGGAGAAGCAATATGGAGGACGGAGGATCAGGTCAGGGAGGACAAAGAGGCAGGATCCAGAGATGGAGCAAGAACTGGAGAAATGGGGAACCTCGGCTTATATTGAGGCCTTGCAGCTAAAATTGATTCCAGGCAAAATTTTTCCTGAGACTAATGAGAATAGACTGACTCTTAGGAAGGTGATTAGGTGACCTTGGTGTAGGCCTTTTATCTCAGTCATATTCCATCATCTAGGAAGAGACAAAGGACAACAATTCTTACTGCTATTTACTTCCTCTACAGCTTGAAAAATGGGCTGGAGGATGTCACTTGTATTTTCATAGTTTAGAACACAATTGTTTTGAAACTTTAGTGTGCACTGAAATCATCACATCAAAGAATCGAAATGTTGATTTCTGAGCTCCATCCATCCACCATCTGCGCTTAGCATACACTTCAGGCAATTCTGATGCAGGTAATATTGTTAAAACTGCTACCAACACAATAGGGCTTATATCAATGTTTAAAGTTTTTCCTTCTCTTAATGTATTAGAAATTCAGCCAGCCCAGGAATCTCTGAAGCCCCAGAGGGTACGATTCCAGTCCCGAAATTTTCACAACATTTTGCACTGGCAGCCTGGGAAGGTGCTTCTAGACAACTACAGCATCTATTTTGTGCAGTACAAAATGTAAGTAAATTGGGCGTCTTCCAGTTCACAGAGGTGGTCACTGGAATAATGTGTTCTAGAATGCAATGGAATGTTAGGATCTGTGCTTTTTTTTTTTTTTTTTCAGTTTTAGAGGGGTTAACAAGAAGCAGAGGTAGGGATACAAGTGACCTATCTCCCCTGAAGACTACCTGGTGACCCAGAACTCATGATGATATGCACAGCTTGTTGGGGAGATGATATACACAGCATCCCTGAGAGAGCCAACACTCAGACCTTACAGGCTCGCCTAATGGCTTCCAATGGTGACTTGTTCATTCTGGGCTCTCAGTACGTATTTGTTGAACAAATGTTGGAAACCATGGTTTAGCACCCAGCCAATACTCAATTAAATTGAAACTACTGATAACTGATAGAGAAATGGTAGAAAACATAAAGAGAAGTATGTACAATAGATGTGTTTCCTCTTTATGTCATTTTAATGGGTTCACTACTTAGAACATTCTTTTCAAAAGTTAATGGCTCTTGTAAGCATGCCTACAAATTGCAACGTGCTGCTGCATGATCCTCTTATGTGAACGTCAGGCTAATCCTGCTGGATTGTTGACAGAACGCAGATACGATCGACTCTTTTCCTGAACCAAGGGCTGG